ATTTATAGACAATGATTAATGTGATGGACACAATAAATACAAAATACAAAAGACTTAATACATTTTGAGTAGAAAAAAATACATATAAATAAATAATTAGAAAAATGATTAAAAACAAATTTATACAAATAAATTAGTTTAACAACTATTTTAGTTGGTTTCTACACAGATAATAATTGTACTTTTTACATAGGACAATCTTCAATACAATTTAAAAACTATTATAAACAAAACATAAATTCTAATACATTAAAATCTTTGTTTTCCTGTATCCCAACTTATTTTTGGTCTGTCATCCGTATCCTAAACCTCCAAATAAAACAATCTCCCACAACATCTACGCCTACCACCAGCTCTCCTATAATATCGCCCTCAATCACATTCAACCACCTGTTTTTCTTTCATCATACATTATAATAACCATTCTTACAGCTTCTGATTTCTCTCTCCTAAAAACATACCCAAACCATCTCAGTTTATTCTCTCTTATCTTGCGAACGGTCGACACCACAATATTCTTCTTCTTACAGTCTTTACATATTCATTCCTTTTCCTATCTTCTTCCATCAGTCCACTCATTTATCTAAGCATTCTCATCATCTGCTCTATTTCCATGTCAACCAAACAATACAACATAATTGTTCTCACTACACTCTTATAGAATTTATCTTTCATTCACATTTAAAATAGATATAATGAACTATTAATGTTTAATGATTTATAGTACAGTAATATTTTCACGTTATTATTAATATTATAATATATTGATACATACAAAATAAAATTTTCTAAGATTACTACAAAATTAAAAATTATTATATTAATAACTATTACGTACGTTTACACTGTTACGTCTTGAGAATAAATAGATAAATAGAGAGAGAAATGAGAATGCGAGTACAAATAAAAATTAAAAATCAATGATCATAATATTATATTAATATCATTAATATAATATTACTACAAAGTCATGAATGCTGGTTGAGTACTTGAGTATAAAGGGTGTGTCTTCTGATAATTGATAAATATTAATCACTGATAGCGGTTTTCGCGTTGCCTTCCAACAATCAAAATTTGGCCGCATGTCGTTATCAAAATCAGATAAGCCGTACAGGCCATCGTCAGTCTGGCTGTTCAGGCAACGCACTGTGGCACCAGTGGGGTTGCCCCGCACTATGTCAACATGCGTTCGTTCTGGACTCCGTCGCAGAGAGGTTAGGTACACAAGTTTAGGTATTTAAAAGAAAGAACACACAATGTCGTTGATTGACGCGGTTGCGTCGAAAGTCGTATATTGGAACATGGTCATATATGTGCGTACGCAGTACGCATAATTATTCGACGGTCGAGCGGTCGTTGGTCGCGTGGGTCGCCGGAATCGGTGTGCTCGATGCACGAGCGATCGAGGGAGCGTGGCGCTACGTCGAGAGACGAGAAAGTCGTCGCGACATTAGTTCGGTCGGCCGGGCGAGTCGAGGTGCACGATGATCGTCGAGATCGTATCGCTACTCGAGTCGATTGCCGTTGCAAGAGAAACATGGCGTCGGGCGTATGTCGCGAGTCGGACGAAACGTGAGGCTCGGTCGAGGGCTGAGAGCAAAGAGAACGCTGGCCGGTCGGTCGGCCGCGTCGTACCCGTCGCGGGACGAGTCGCTTGGCGTCGCCAATGGGAGACGCGAGATCGAGTTGAGCGAGGAACATAAATATAATTACAAAGACAATAAATACTAAAAATCACAGTTGTTGTATAAATACGAATATAATATAAAAGTTCCGCGAAACGGATGGTAACGGCGAATGAGTAAGTTGAGCAAAGTGGTGATAAGCGCCGAAGTCACCACAGCACCTTAGATAGTAGATTGTAGATAGTAGATTATATTATTTTCTTTTTAGATACAATATTAGTTATTGCGTTTCAGCGGGTCTGGGAACAGTCACCACTCACCCGTTGACCGGTTTATTAAAACACGTGGTTATAAATAGTTAATGTCATCCCCAAAGTCTAGTCCTGTTGTTATTTTATATTATTATAGTTTATTTATAAGTTCTTCATAATAAAGATTTAAGATAGCAAGTAAATTTCGTCATACTTCACTTGTCCATAATTTATATCCGATAATACAATATATTTTTTTTTGCCCGGCTCGTAACTTTTGTCCTAAAGAGGTCCGGCCCAGCCCGTCTTGCATTTTACACAATCCGGTCAGCCTATCAATCATAATATAATAACTACATATTATTCTCGCTATTATTTATTTGCCATACCTAATATTTTAACGAGGATTTTAATTAATACCTATGAATCTACAAAATATCTAATAGGTTTTAAAATAATGTTAGTTGAACATAGTTTTGCTCTATTGAAGGTAAATTGGAGCTAACCATTTTACATAAAATAACCATCAGAAACTCAGAACAACATAAACATATTTTTTATTTGCTAGTTAGAAAAACAAATGGCAAAAGTTTCTGAGCTGTTCTAAGAGAACGGATTAAGAATCCTTACCAGCAAACACAAGGACACGAGAATAATGAATATTATAATACAGTATACAAATATTTCACTTACCTTATTAGATTTAAAATATACAAATAACATTCCGCAATATAGGTACCAGTCAATTATTTTACTTACCGATCCTTTGATACTTTGAATCGAAATAGATACTTAAACAACTAAAAACTTGAACTCGTCAAAAACGTGGTTAACTTTTTAATAAACGTCTTACAAAAACAGAAGATTAGCAAGCCGGTGCTTAGCGCAGTAGTCGTCATGGGCAATGGCCAATGGGCATTGGACAAATATGAAATTAATGATGTGTGTGCGTGCGTCGTACGTACGTACGCGCAGATATCGTAGACAGAATTCATCAAAAAACCCTTCTTTGGTATTTTTAGACATGCTATAATTATTTTAAATAAAGTATTTTATCAATTTAATAATATATTTTATTGGAATAACAAAATTTTATTAGTTTTACATCTATGTTTTATCAAATTAAAAGTTGTTTATTTTATAAACAGAACCAAATTAATTTGTTATTTTATTATTAATTTGATTAAATATTTATAAAATCAATAAAAATATTATCATTTTAATAAATTAATTTTTGTTAAAATTTGATTAATGCATTTTGTTGTTTTAACTTGTGATAATTCGTTGACTGTATATTAACGTTGCAGGTAGCTAGACTGTTTCGCTGATGATGATGAGATAGTTGTTGAAATAAAGTGTAGACAGATGTAAATATAATGTGGTTTTATTATAATGTTTTTCAATAATTTGTGCAGAGTCCAAATTACAATTATGTTGTACAAAGTGTCGTGAAGGTGCTTTCAGTACAGTGGAGTGGAGTGTACACCACGAACTAAGATAGAATGGACTGGTAACGGTGGGGACGGCGAGGTGGTGAGGTCAGATCCCCAAATGTTTCTGCCCCGCTACACTGCACATCTATCACAAGTACACTATGTTCAACGCTATCTAGTGATAATAATATACGATAGAAAAGTAAATAGTGATTAATGAATAGAAAAATAAAATTGTTACGATTATTTCTCCATAGATGGCGCTGAATGTAGTGTAATTTGGTACCTTGTCTAGAGAAACATTTGTGTCACACTGATAAGACATTCGATATCAGTCCATTCTATCTTAGTCCGTGGTGTACACGTCTGAATAACAAGCGTCTAGGGACAGAGAACCGAATGGAATCAAAATGGCGGGTTTTTATCATTAATTTACATTTAGATAAGAAAAATACACAATCTGATAACAGAATTTATCATAATAATTAATATAATTAAATAATTAATATTATAACATATTTGGATTGTTAAGGTAATTTAAGATATTGCTATATAATATAATTGTTACCTGTTGGTGATTTATGTATTTTTTAATTAAATGTTTATACATTAATATTTATAAACTAATAAATTTGTTGTTATTGTTTTGTTTTTCCTTGTTAAATACTATGTTAAATAATTTAATATAATTTATCCAAAATTATTTTCCTTTGAATATGATTCTTCTACTATGTCTGAAAATGTTGAGTAAATGCAATGTTGTGATTCAGTTGTTGTTTTGTTCGGTTTCATGTTAAATAAATTAACATAAATTATTCAAAATTATTTTTCTACTATGTCTGAAAATATCGAGTAACTGCAATGTTGTGATTCAGTTGTTGTTTTGTTCGGTTTCATGTTAAATAAATTAACATAAATTATTCAAAATTATTTTTCTACCATGTCTGAAAATGTCGAGTAACTGCAATGTTGTGATTCAGTTGTTGTTTTGTTCGGTTTCATGTTAAATAAATTAACATAAATTATTCAAAATTATTTTTCTACTATGTCTGAAAATGTTGAGTAACTGCAATGTTGTGATTCAGTTGTTGTTTTGTTCTGTTTCATGTTAAATAAATTAACATGATTTATCCAAAATACTTTTTTTTTTGAATAGGATCTAGGTACTATATCTGAAAATCAAGAATTTATGTGTACTGAATGCGGAAAAAAGTTTAAATTTTAAAAAACCCTTAGAGCCCATTTAAAAAAAGCGCATCCTCTAATATATGTGTATCAAATTGCCCCAAAAAAAAGTTGAAAAATCATGAATTATATATATATATACATGTGACTTATGTGATAAATCATATTGCCATAAGAGAAATCTCGATGAGCATAAAAAAAGTGGCACATTGTGAAAAAAAGAAACGGTTGTAGCCTTGGTGAATTGTTCAATGTGTTATTTTACTGCATCATGCACATCATTAATGGCTGATCTTTATTCATCAGTACACAATATAGTAATGCAGAGTAATAAATTTAATTTTAACAATTTGGATGATTTTAAAACATGGAAACATAATATTGAGCAGAAGACAAATGCATATTATGTAAAAAATTGTGGTTTAGCTAAAAATTTTAATGAAAATTACATTTATATTTACTATAAGTGCCATAGAAATGGTTATTATAGTTCAAAAAGTACTGGTATGCGACACATAAAATCTCAAGGCTCGAATAAGATAAATGGATACTGCCCAGCTAGTGTGAATGTTATTTTGTCAGAATGCACAAAACAATGTACAGTTACATTTATAGATACACACGTTGGTCATCTAAATGATTTAGGAAACTTACCACTAGACAAAGTAACTAGGGATATTATAGCTAGTAAAATTTCTGAACAAATTCCGTTTGAACACATACTTGATGAAATTCGTGACAATATTTCCAACAACGTGTTAGAAAGAACACATCTATTAACAAAAAAAGATCTTTATAACATTGAAGCATCTTACAATTTGAATAATGAATCAGTCAAAAACGATGCATTGAGTGTTGAATCTTGGGTTCAAACTGTGAGAAGTGATGAATTTTCCTTAGTATACTATAAGCCACAAGTCAATATAGATCCACTATTTCCAAACCTAAAAAAAGAAGATTTTGTCTTAATAATAATGAATAATTATCAAAAATCAATGTTAGAAAAAATTGGTAATGATGTAATTTGCATTGATGATACCTATGCCATGAATTCATATAATTTGAATCTTACCACAGTTTTGATTCTTGATGACATGAGAGAAGGTTTTGCTTGTGCTTTCGTGATAAGTAATAGGGTTGATGAAGGTGTATTAAAAATTTTTATTTTCTCAGATTAGAGCTCTTACCGGACAAATTGAGCCAAAAGTATTTATGTCTGATATGGCCGAATGTTTTTTTAATGCATGGTTGGTTGAAATGAAACAACCAAAATGTAGACTATATTGTACATGGTACGTAGATAGAGCATGGAGGAAAAATTTGACTAAAGTTAAATCTAAGGAAAAACAAGCCGAAGTTTACAAAATTATAAGAACATTATTGCATGAACAAGACGCTAAAGCATTTGAAAACATTTGTGAGAGTGCTATTAATCAAATGTCAGCTGATGAACAAACATGTGAATTTGCTAACTATTTCGTAAGCCAATATGGAAATTGCGTTCAATCATGGGCATACTGCCATCGAATTCATGCTGGAGTTAATACGAATATGCATATAGAACGAATGCATCGTACACTAAAGCATATTTACTTACAGGGAAAAAAGGTAAAGCGCCTTGACAAGTCTTTATATGCTTTGATGAAGTTTATTTGAGATCGTTCTATAGATAGATTAATTGTGATCCATAAAGGAAAAATCACATCGAAAATAAAAGAACTGCGTAAAAGGCACAAACTCAGTCTAGAAATGTCACATGAAATGGTTATGAAAGCAACAGAAGATAGTTGGGACATCATATCCGTAAAATATAGTGAAATGTAATAATGTATACAGTGAACAGACTTAAAATTTCCTGTGAATGTCAAATACAATGCCAAGATTGTCTTTCTTGCATTCATTGTTATACATGCTCTTGTATAGATAGTGCAATTAAGTGGAATATGTGCAAACATAATATATATCAAGTTTTCCAATTTCAATATAGTATAAGCAATCAAGAAAATAATGGAATGTTAACAAACTGTTTAGTTGTGAACAACAACTTAAACAACATGCCTAACACAGACGGTGAGCATAACAACGAAACTTCCAATATTTTAAGTCAATTAAATAACTCAGCCATTACAATCCAGCTATCATTGGAATTGGAAAAAAGGAAACTACAAGAGTCATTCAATAAAGTGTTATACCATTGAAGAACTAAATGTCTTGAAAAAATCTTTTTTACCTATAATACCAACATTAACAGCAATAAGAAATAATTCAAATACACCAACCTTAAAAAGAAAAACTTCTCAGACATCACCAACAGATAAAAAAATCATACCACAACGCCGTTTATACTCGACCAAGAAAACAAGGAAAGTATTAGAAAAGGTATTAGAAACACCAAGCAGAACAGAACAAAATCATATCAGTGCATCATTAATATTAAAAAATAAAACTGCTTAATAGTTAATGATTCTTACCTATTTAGTATTTATATATTATTTTATACACTGAGTCAAACTGACAAAATCACATATTAACTTATTTATACATGACTATATCATTATGAACTGACGAATAATCGATTTTTATATAATATTTTTGTTTATTACTTTAATTGATTTTTATATAATATTATTTGTTTATACTTTATACACCGAGTCAAACTATTATTATATTAATTATTATGTATTTTTCATAATTTTGTATAATGATATTCTATCAGCTGTAGCCTGTAATAAATATTGTGTATATTTCTTATCCAAATGTAAAGTAATGATAAAAACCCGCCATTTTGATTTTTGATTCCATTCGGTTCTCTGTCCCTAGCCGCTTGTGTCTGAATCATAGAGTAATATAGAGAGGGCCTTACATATCTTAGCTGCACAAGAAAGTGAAGCGCAAAAGGTATATGATTGCCAGTTTAAGTGGATAGTACACAAAAATTATTGTACAATATATGGTAAAACGATTCACCTGTAATGCCGTTATCTTTGATACATTTGTTATCTCGTGTGTTGTTTCCCACTAATATGCCATGAGTAATTCTTAACTTCATTATTTTTGTTTACTGTTTAGTATCTTAGTCCGTGGTTTGTACCCATGCCCGATGCCGTATGATCGTTCAGTAATTCAGTATTACTCTTTACTGTCGTTTATTTTGCAACTTGCTTTTACTGTTTTATTTCTTTTTGCTGGTAGTTAAAAATGCCTAGTTGTCTAGTTTGTGGAAGAACGAACAATGCCAAAGCTAAATCGGCTAATATAACTTTTCATAGGTATGTTATCTTGTGAAATGAAATCTTTATTTTCAATTTTTTTTTTTTTAGAAGTGATTATGATAGACTTTTACTTTGACTATTTATTTCAGATTTCCGCTTAAAGACACTTACAAGAATAAATGGTACAATTTTTTGGGAGAAAATGGCATACTACCTGATAAAGTATCAAAGACAAGTTTAGTTTGTTCAGCACATTTTGACGATTCATTTTTTGTAATGGGAAAGGATAGAAGACTGTTACTTAAACATGCTATTCCAACTAAAATTATCAACAGAATAAAATGTGTAAGTGTGCATTTTGAGTAGATTAAAACAAAACAAAGTAACTCCATAACGGATAGGTATCTAATCTACATTTATTATTTTAGGCTAAACAACAATACTCAGAAACTGTAACCAACTTGCCTGTAATTAAAACTTTTTATACTAGTTCTGCTAGCGATTCAGTTGACAATATTGCTTCTTTAAATGTTACCAGAACTTTAGTAAAGGTGAGTCATAATTAATAATAATTTACAATACACAATAGAATAGAATAAATTACAAAAATATACTACCTAATACTAATAAAACATAAAGCAATTGGGTCTAGTTTTTATAATTTAAATTTCAGATAAATGAAAATTGCTTAAAGTTTTATTAATATTATTTTGAAAAGGTATAAGTAACATTTTCTTCAATTCATACAATTTATCTATCAAACTAACAGTCACCATATTTGGTCATTGTTAATATTATATTTCTGTTAAAATGTTTATTTGTTGCTTATCAAGTCTCAACATTTTTTATGTTGTTATTTTTAGTGTCCTTTGAGCAATATAGAGGTAGACGGAGTATCTTTGTTGGAACCAGTTCAATCAAGTTCTAGTGAAGAAGAAGGAGTACTACCATTAGACAATTCTTCTGTATCAATGATGAATTGTGAAACAATCACACCCAATAAAAATATCTCGGTAATATTAAAAAATATAATACAATTGTACATACATTAATCATAAAATTGCAATATATTTGTTTATTTATAATTTTTTTTTTAGTATGTACTTCACTCATCCACAATGTCCATAGACACCGAGATAGTTCCAGATGACACTCCACGCAAAATCGCATTGAAAAAAAATCTTCGCCAACTATCACATGAAGTCACTATCAAAAATATTAAAATGAAAACCCTTCAGCAAAAAATAAGGCGCCAAAATAAAAGAATTTCATCTATGAAGAATATAATTTCCGAGCTTCAAAAACAAAATTTAATTGACGAGGAAGCCAGTTATACCCTGTCTGAAACTTTTGGTAAGCATAAAGATTTGATAACCAATTGGACAAAAAAAAAATTAGGTAAAAAAGTTCCAAAGAAATATAGTGCCACCATTCGTCAATTTGCTTTATCATTACATTTTTTTTCTGCTAAAGCATATTCGTATGTAAGACAGCAGTTTGACACGATTTTGCCTCATAGTAGAACTCTTAGTAAATGGTACAGAAATGTCAATGCTGAACCAGGTTTTACTGAAGAGTCGTTAAAGATGCTAACTCTTAAAGTAAATAATTCACCCCATCCTATTTTATTAGCTTTGTCTATGGATGAAATGGCTATAAGACAACACCTGGAATTTGATGGTACTAAGTATTATGGAAGGGTTGATATGGGAAATTATATAGATAATGATAGTTTAAACACAGCTAAACAATGTTTAGTTTTTATGGCAGTCTCGGTAAATGAGAATTGGAAGTTACCAATTGGTTATTTTGTAGTGGATGCTTTAAAAAGTGCACAAAAAGTTGAACTAGTTCGCCACGCATTAAATGTATTGGACAGCACTGGTGTAAAAGTCTTGAGCTTAACATTTGATGGTTGTTCTAGTAATATTAGTGCAGCTCAACTTTTAGGTTGTAATTATGTTTTGAGTGCATTAGATACATCTTTTTCTTCTGGCTTTGAAAGTAATCCAAAAATTGTAACCCTTTTTGATCCTGCACACATGATCAAATTAGTTCGTAATGCTTTTGGTGAAAAGAAGGTCTTTAAAGATAGTGCAAATAATGAAATAAAATTTGAATATGTCCGGCAATTGTGTTATTTGCAAGAGAAGGAAGGATGCCATCTTGCTAATAAACTGCGAAAACAGCATCTTCTTTATTTCAAACAAAAGATGAAAGTAAAACTTGCAACCCAACTACTTAGTCAGTCAGTAGCAGATGCATTGACATTTTGCAAAGATAGCCTCAAACTAAAAGAGTTTTCTAATGCAGGTGCTACCATACAATTTATCGAACTCTTTAATACTGGCTTTGACATATTAAACTCAAAATCTATCAACTGTGTAGGATTTAAAAAAGCACTATGTGAAGAAAACATTCAAGAAGTTAGATTGTTCACAGAAAAAATGACAACATATATTAAAGGTCTTAAAATTCAAGATAGACCAGGAGTTTTTACACCCGTACTTGAATCACAACGAAAAACTGGGTTTCTTGGATTTATAGTCAGTTTAAATAGTATTTTACAGCTATATACTTTGTTTGTGGAAACTGATGTCTTACAACATATAAAAATTTATAAATTAAGCCAAGATCACGTAGAACTGTTTTTTCGGTAGTATAAGGGCCCACGGTGGGCATAACAATAATCCAACAGTGAGGCAGTTTCGTTCAGCATACCAAAAATTAGTTATCAGAACAAATGATATACAAAGTTTTAATACTGGTAATTGTATACCACTTGAAGAGATAGATATTCTTCACTACTCCAGTTCAGATCCAGTTACTGTTTTAAATAACAATTCTTCAGGTTGCAGTTTTGATCCAATTGATGAAGAAAATGAACAAGATATTTCTGCATTTATAATGGACCATGATTATATTGGAAGTCACAGTTCATACTCTTTTAGTAATTTTTCAAAAGAAATCATTGTTTATATTTCAGGATTTGTAGTTCATAAATTGACCAATGTACTTAAATGTGATGTTTGCAAACATGCATTGTGTGCTGCCGAAAAAGAATGTTTTCTAAATTCGTTGATAACATTAAAAAATAAGGGAGGCATTCATGGTGGACTTATTTTTCCAAGCGAAGATGTCATAGATGTTTGTTTCATTACAGAAAACATTTTGAGAAGATATGATTATACTTCTAAAGCTGTAAATAAATTACAAGTTCAAACCGATGTCCTTAAACATTTTGTATTTAATTCAAATATATTTAAATCATTAAAAAATCATAGTACTGAAACCAGAAGTCCATTAGCCGACCATACAACTCTTTTAATAAAATCTATATCTTCTACTTATATAAATATAAAAATAAATTACAGTTTAAAAAAACACAATGAACCCCTTCTGTTCGGATGTGGTTTAATAAACTTACTCTTTTTAAAGGACAATAATTTAGTTTTTGTTTATTATTATTCTATAGTCTCTCCGCCCATTTATTTAATAACTTATAACTTGTGTATTGTGTATATAGTTTAATAAACTAAATATTTTTAAATGACAATAATTGAATTTATAGTTTATTATTTACTATTACTGTTATTGTATTTTCAGGATTCAATGCTACACCACTGAGTAAAAGTATTCTATGAAAAAGTTATACTATGTACTGAAGTGCAATAAATTATTTATTATAGATTATTAGATTAATACATGTGTCAACTGTAAATACAAAATTAAAATAAAAAAAAAATATAGCTGTTTTTCTTGATATTAAATAATAATAACTACTATGCCATATTTATAAAATTAGTAAATTTTAAAATACTAATGATGTGTGTTGTACATTAGGTACATTGTTGTCCAAGCTATAGTATTTGATGGTATTTACAGTTACAACATACACCAAGTACCAAAAGTGCTCAATTCTTATTCTAATTAATTTAAGTAAAACTAGAATGCTGAAATAAAAAATTAATTCAGTTTACTAATGATTAAGTTTATCTATTAGGTTAAGGTAAAAAGGTAAAACATAAAAAAAAAAGTATTTGAAAGTATATTTAAATACTTTTTAAAAGTATTCGTATTTATACTTAAAATACTTTTTTTTCCAAGTGTCCAAAGACGTATTTTAAATACTATTGAAAATAAGTATTTGTATCTGTACTTGAATACTTTTTAAAAGTATCTTTTACAAGACTGTCAATCGTACACCAAAAGAGCAAAACTATTATAAGCTATTATATATTATAACAAGGGCCCCGATTTTTATGCAAAAATTATTGCTAAATATGCACATATTTATACACTTAAAAATTAAAAAAAATGCAATGAAGTTACGAAATGTGATTTCATTTTATCGTACACTTTGTGACAACATAATTTTTTTCCACTAGATAGGCAACACTGGCAAACATACACCTTTTCCGCTTCACTTTTTTTTTCGAACGGCATCTCTATATTACTCTATGGTCTGAATACAGGCCATTTCGGGGGCCCTCTTATAATCCGGTCCCCGCTCCCTTTGCCTAGTGATACTGTATCTCAGCTCTTGAAGTTTTCAGCGCTACCGGTGGTTTTATTTGGCAACACAATTTGTATCTTAGCCCGTGTTTTATACAGAGGGCGCTGTGAACTCCAGGAACCACGATTAAAGATAGTATGGTTGCCCATCGACCCATGATTCATGTACTAGAAAAGTGTCTACCGAAATGAATCTCTACTTATCAGTATTAAACAGCTAGAAATTTAAACACTAGCGCTTACATGTGTAGTGACTATAAGCTCAACTACTATTAACCATAAAGAACAATATTCTTATATTCCCACTTTAATATTTTTTTTTTTAAATACTGCTGAATAATAATAATCATTAATCAGTCATATTATGTAAAATACTATATACATAATATTATGTATTCTAATTCTATAATAATTATTTAAATCTTTCTGAAGCATAACAACTAAATAATAACGTATACTCAATGCTACTAAGCCGTAGCCCATTGTACATTTAACTGCGACCAATGTATTTTTTTCTATAGTATCGAATAAAATTACACAAATCAATGGAAGTAATTCATTTTATATTTATATTAGGGCTTAGGCACCTATAATATAAAAATATAAATATTATAATGATTAAGTAAGTATGTATATAAATATAACATACAGGTAAATATATAAAAAATATATAATACTATTTTTGTTATTTTGGTTCTGTTGATAGCTGTATTCTCATAATCAGATAATACAGACAAATATCCATTAGTACATCTGTTCGATGTTCAGTGCATGGAAAATCAAAAGTTATATTTTGGCTTAAAAAATATTCAGAAGCATCTTCAAAAACATTAGGTGCATCAGCAAATTTAGTAAATGATAACTCTAATGACTTAAATATTTAAAAAATGTTATTATTTGGATGGGTCAGGTAGCCTCTACTTTTTATACTAACCAGATCTGCTTCAGGCCCAGTTTTAGAGGTATTTAAGTTCTTTAAATGTAACTTACATAATTCACATTTAGTTTTGGCTACTAAACGTTTTGATATACACCTATAAAATATAAAATATTAATTATAAAATTAATAGATAGAAGTTTTGATTCGTAAGAAACTTATTAAGTAAATCAGTTAACTATGATTAATACCCAGCCAGATAATACACTAGACAATCAAAAACAGTTGAGTCTGAATAATTGAGTTCTAAAAAAATGTCATCAGCTTCCCAACATCCGTTATCCATAATGTCATTTAATTTTTGTTTCAATTTTTCAATCTTATTTATTCTAGCTGGTGTATTTGTTGGATCACTAATTATCTCTTTTAGGTCTGCAATTGTTATTATTGAAATATTGTCTAAAAAAAATTAGTAAAATTAAGTGTTTCTGTATGTATCTAAGTTTAGGTATATATATATAAATACAGTATATTATTTTTATTTACAAAATATTTACCTTAAATTGTACAGTTACCACTTTTAGGAGGTTTTATCAGTGAGTAAACTGACAATATCCTATAAAGCTGGGGGAAAGTTGGGGTTGACGGGTAGTCGTTTGGTCCAGCAACCTGGCGTATGATGCCAAGAAATTTCTGAAAAATTATAATGGTTAAGATTTCATTGTTTGATATGACAGTAAACAAAAAATGTCATCTTAAAATATACTTCTAAACAATCCTGGTTTAATTTGGCCGTCAAAACATATTTATAGTTGCAATCATTTAACAAATAGTCAATAAGGTCTATTGTTGACTTCAATGTTATTTTGAGGCCATCAGCTGTCGTTGTTGTTAAAAAATCATCCTTATTGATTAATTGGTCTTTTAAATTTGATTCCCATTGATTAATAAATTCAAATGCTTCTTTTAACACCTATTTAAAATAAAATATTTAGAAACTGCTGTGTATTAGGTATATATACTTACCTATTTTAGCTAGAAAGCCTAGATAGTACAACTAGTTAAATAATAGTTAGTTAAATTAATTATAAACATTTAACACATACACAATAAAATTACTATAGGATAGAGATTTTTTTTAATTAATTTTGCAATAGGTATATTTCCTTTTCAGTTGCCTTATTAAATGTATAATATTTAAAAACATAAACAATTTACATACCATGCATCACTTGTAAGATAAATTAAAAACACTTATAAGTTATAACATGTAAAAGCAAAATTAGAAACATATTTTAGCAAAGGCCACAAATCACAAACATTCAACAAAAAACACCTCTATATCATGGCTATTTTTCTTGATTCCTTCTGCTGGATATTTTCTGTTTAGGGAATCAAACATATTGTTCATGAAAACAGTAAATTTGATCGTTTCATCAGCATCAATAAAATTACCAATATTCTTTTTTTTATAAAATTCAATAGCAGAGGCCATTGACATACTAAACAACTTAAACAATTTATTATTATTGTAATAAACAGATTTTATAGATTTCTAACTCGAAAAATTTTAAATATTGTTTTACTAAAAAAATAATTTATTTCACCTGTGCTGCATACTTGATCTTCATCTTTGATAGGTTATTTAGCTCAAAGTGATTTTTATTGATTTTCGAGCATGCTTTAGTTAGGGAATTAGCTTCTAAAAATCAAAAGTTGTACTAAATTCAATTTACTACTTAGGAAGTTAAGACTTACTAATAATTGTTTCTTTTCATACAAACGGTTTCGTACTGTCTTTAAAAGGTGAGGTGCATCTGAAAATACAAACACCTTTCTACTGCTGTCGTAAGGATTTTCAAAGTAGTTTTTAAAATTTTCTGATTTTGCACTTATCTAATTTAATAAATTAAAATTATAAAAATATTAAAAATACGTACGTAATTTTTGTAAATAGTCATTTATAGAATATTTATTATTTACCCCAAGTAAATTCCACATTGTCCGGTTAGTTGTCGCACCGTCCGATGTCAGACCAACTACTTGACCACCAGCATTTTCCATAAGAAAAATAGCTCTTATTACGAGTTTTGCTAATACAACTCCTAAAAGTATAAATGGTTTTTTGAAAAGTTATTAATTTTAATTGGGTCAAATCAAAAATTCTATTTTCTATTTTATTTAATTTATATAATTTTTTTTTAATTTTGGATAATTTATAGTAGTGACCTTTAACAGTTCCATGCGATGCAAAAACAGCAATTGGTTGAACGAAATTATCAGCTAAGCTTTGCCACATGAAAACTAAAACATGATTATCCTTTTGGGAACTATCAGTTTTACTGATCAATTCTTCTCCAAAATCTTCCAGTCCCATGTACGTTAAAGTACGACTATTCACACTTATGTTTCTCTTAAAAAAAATCTCATCTAATACTAAAACTCCTTGTTTTTGTTGTTCTGATTTTAAATTAAATTTCTTTTTCAGAAGTTTAAAAAAATTATTGTCAAACTCACACCCAATTTCTACGGCAAGTAAATGTTTCCTGGTTGTATTTACACAGGGTAGTGGCAGTATATTCTGGTATCTTAAACATTTATAACCACTTGGGGATCTGAAATTAAAAATTTTAATTCTTTAAGCATTATTATAAAATTGAATTTGTTAAAATATACCTTATTTGGAATAGCATACAAAGTAATAGCCAATTTTCACTATATTTCCTATTTTTAGGGTTTTTCAGTTTAGCCGCTTTAAATATTTCATATTGTATTAACTCAGATTGACTGTTGGGAATTTTAGAACTTTGTAATACTTTCTCAAGATTATAGTGAGTTATTTTCTTCATTTTATCTTTTATATCGTTTAAATGATTTTGTAAACGGGTAATTTTCAAACTAGTGTAATGGGATTACGCAATTCATGTAAACGCTCATAATAACAAGAACCACTTATGTGAAAGGCGGCCTCGTCGACCGCACCCAAAAGTGGTCATAGCTAGAATATACGCTCCAAACCACTCCAACTTACTAACCACGCCCCGCTCAATTCAAAGGACGCCGCCTCCGTATATATACTGGCCGGGGCCCCAATACACATTAGATGTACCAGAGCCATTACACACAAACTACACGGAGATTATCAGCTACTACAACGAGTCAATTCACGATACTATAATTTACCACGACTATATTACTTATTATTTGGTTTTAATAAAACAACAATTGATTGATATTTTAAATTGACTATTGTTTATTATTAAAGTATATCAGCTTTTGGATTCTTGAAGGGCAGCACGTAACACTAGCTCTGGAAAATTTTTTAGTTCTTGTATTATTTAAATTCCCTATTCTACTCATGGCTTTTTTTTTGGTTGGAGAAAAAAATGTCCTGGTAGATTGCTTATTCTTTTGGCGTAACTTTTGTTCTTTATAATATACCATAGGCGTTTACACCAGATGCAAGTATCACTGAAAATAATTTAATGTTGAGATATACAATACATAAATTGTGATTTACTTGTATATATTTTAATTTTTTACCCAAGTTGAATGACTGACTACAAATATATTTCATACTTATGCAATATAATTTTTATATTAACCTATTACTGCTGTTGTCTTTAGGAAGTATTGTGATACATTTTGGATGCCACAACATAACACATTTTTCAACTGGACTTATAGATAATTTTACGTATCAATATTTATTTGATGGTACTGCACCCTCGCACAACCTAATATTGTCAAATATTTTAATTATCTTCTCTAATTCAGTGTGGTTGTCTATATTAATATTTGAATCAACCCCAATATCTGATAATTCTATTTTTTTGTCAAAAGCATATTTGAATTTTATTTTATAGTACACCTATTATGACGATAATGTTTTTATATGTTATTATTTTATTTTATAGTATTGTGACGATGGTTTAGGAATATATAAAATAGAATTTTTACTTTTCGCTATTATTGTTTTCGCGATTTTAATTGGCACCCATTATGAACAGTGATTTAGACACCAGAGCTATAACCACCAGATTAGACGAATTTTTTAAAAACCAGATAACTACTAATGATACTCTCTTAACCCTAAGTAACCGGATATTAGAACTCGAGAAAACTTTAAAACAAAAAGACGGCATAATACAAAATCTAGAAATAAAATATATTATATTATACTATTATATTAGAACAAAAGAAAAGGGCGTGTTTATAGAAATAAGTGGTTTAAAAAAGGAACATAATGAACATTTTGAAATAATGGTTAATGACATCGCAGGAATTATAGACGTTGATATTAATTTTTTCGATACTCAAAATGTATACCGAAAATTATCAAATCGTAGGCTTGACTCGTAGATTTTCTTCTAAAAAAAAGAGAAGAATTAATTAGGAAACTGGGAAAAATTGAATTATATTAATGAAAGCTTAACAGCTTACAACATTAATCTGCTTTAGGATACTAAATTAAAAGCAAAAGAACTTGGATACTGATAGGTACATCTGGACAAGAAATGGCAGAATCTACTGCAAAAAAGATGACATGACCAAAAACACACAAATAAATTAACTGACAATATAGGCAAGGTTGTAAAATTCAAATATTTTGTAAACACATTTAGAACTATGACTAGGAACTTACCTTCATGTCTAATACTGATAGGCAATGTTGATAATTATGTTTAAACGAAATATTAAAATTAAGTCAGAAATTTATAAAGACAAGATAAATTATACATAATTATTTATTTTCACAATTGACATTGAACTTTTTTTACAAGCACATCTATTAGTTTTGCATCCTGCTTTACAAATACATCTAGTATTCAGCTATTTCAGAGTTATAACTTCTGGCAACACTACCGCCGGCGGCTCCCTCTCTTGCTCAACAACCGTTCGTCGGACTACACGTTGTAAAAACCGTATCCGCATTCCGCACCGCACACTAAGTGTCGACCACGTTTGTTGTTTTTTGATTATCGCCGTTAGGAGAGTAGTCACAGCTTGTATGTATATATTAAATAAACGTCCCTCGCGGACATTGCCGTCATATCGAGTGTTCCGTTTTGTTTTACCTTCACTCCGCTTCGACGACGGGCTTACCGCGGAAAGAAACCAGTTCATCACCGCCGTAGCCGCGTCACATAACTGCCGTTTCTACCATCAGATCTGTTTTGAAATTTGGCTGGAAATGCACTCGATTTCTCTTGTTCACCAAATTCACCTTTGATCTGTATTGTTAAATTATTTAAATTTTTACTTCCCGTTGGCACTGAATCCCAAGCACTGTAAAAATGATTATATTCTTTTGGTAATGTCATTAGTATTTTTGTCATAACCATGTTATCCGTAACTGGTTCACCCGCTACTCTCAGTTTCCTTCCTAAATTGACCAATTTAGAAATATGCGTCGACATGTCATCTGTCGACTCCTTTGAATAACTAAAAAATTGTTGTTGAAGCAAATGTAAACTTGCCTCAGACTTCTGCTCGTAAATACTCAGAAGTTTCTCCCACATTTCCAATGCAGTCTCACAGTTAAGCAAATATTGTAATGGACCATCGTCCACTGAGGTAACTATTATTTTTTGACATTTACCATCCGCTTTTATCCAAGCGTTTGTATGCCTTTGCCAACTTCTTTATAGGTATACCTGGTTTCGTCCATTCACCTGAAACTATATCACCTATTTCCAAGGCATTTAGAATGACCTTCATCTGGAATTTCCATAACGACCAGTTTTCCGCACATAAGTTTGTTATCTTCACCGTGTCTTCCATGACCGATGGTTTCCCGTATACTTTCCTGTATAACAATTTATAACAAAACTTTATATATGTACAATGTTCCGCCGTTTTCCGAAATCCAGGATATCTCCGACTAGTTGTAGTCTTCTGCGTTAATACAAATATAAAAATACTTCGATCACGAATCCACTAGACTGTATGTCTTGGTTATTGACTGGGCCCATAACCTGTTGAAAGTGAAGCTTGACGGACTAATGATATTAGTATTAATATAATAAGTAATAACACGACAATATGATTATGTATAAGTATAATATATAATAACGTAGGTACAACTGGACAATTAAACCGTGACAGTACACACACATCGTATACGCTCTGTACGACGACGCCTGTGCAAGTGAGTATTACTGCTTTGCTTTGCTTTGGGGGGGATGGCTAAGCCGTGAAACTATAGTGAGTATTACATACATCAAAGGCCCTATATATATGCACGACCGAGGTCATGTTACATCCTTAAAGAGAGTGAGTCTTATGCTCGTATATAACTAGTTACTAAATTGTACACACGTGTCAAGGCTGACTACATATACTACATATTAATAGCATATTTCAACAGTAAATATAGCCAATACCATATGAATACACTGTAATTTAAATAATAACTGTTAGTCATTGACTTAATATATATATAATTTTTTTAAAAATGACAAGACTAATAACGATTGTGGTACTAGCTGTGGAAATGTACATGATGATTTACTATCTTCGATAAACAATGATCACTGTTATACAGCAATAAAACCACAGGAAAATGAAATAATTCATGATACTGGTACAATAAACTACCTAAAAAGAGATTCAACTTTATTTAATACAGAATTAACGTCCCCAATACCTAAAAGATTAAAGGTACTGTACCTAATATAAAATTAAATAATGATTTAATTTGTATTATTAATATCATTATTGTGTTTTTATTTCTGATTAAAAGGTAGAACAAAAAATTACATTATTCAAATCAGTTTTAAATGATATAAATATATTAAAATTAAATATACCAACAAAATGGTTTTGTGATATCGATGATACTCTACTAAAAAACAATTATAAGCAGACTATAATTTCATTTCATAAGTTGGGATCTTATACAAAAAAATGTTATGCGAATGCGATGCATTGAAAAACAACTAGTTGTAAATGAAGGATTGGCCGGATTCCCTCCAACTCTGAAGTGGGTAGTTACCTCTCCGGCGAGAACGAGGGGCCCTTCCGCGAGACGCGTGGCGGTGGGGTTGCCAGTGTCTGGTCCCGTGCCCGCAACGCCTCCGGGCGTTTGGCCGCGTCCTGGTCGTTGGACGGTCCTCCCTCCATCACACATGCCGGAACTACGATGCGCGCAAAACAGAGGAGGGAAGTGATGAAGACGATGCGCGACCACTTCCGCGTTGTCAGAGGTACGACCCTGATCGAGAAACCGGACCAGGGCAGAGCCATGGAGTGTGTGGCTGCGCACGCCGCGTCTAATCACTTCCTAAGGGCCGGTGACTTCTGTAGGTTTGCCGACTGGAGATTTGTCCACCGTGCGAGATTGAACTTAGTGCCGCTGAACGGCTCCTCGTCCTGGAGGACTGGTGACCGCCGGTGTCGACGTTGTGGGAATAATATTGAAAGCCTCGCCCACGTCGTTAACCACTGCATGCGGTACACCAGTCTCTTCATGGCGAGACACAACTCCCTTGTGGCTCGACTGAAGAAAGCGGCCGACGGGAAGTTTGAGGTCGTGTCGGAGAACCAGGCGATTGGCGCTCAGCGCCTTAGACCCGACCTTATCCTTAGAAGGGGCACAACCACTCTGATTATTGATGCCACAGTACCCTTCGACAACAGGATGAAGGCCTTCGAAGAAGCTGCAGACGAAAAGAGAGCCAAATACGAGGAGCTGAGAAAGGAGATCGCTGCCGAACACCCTGGGGAGGTAACAGTGTTCCCGTTCATTGTTGGCTCCCTGGGTTCCTGGGATCCGGCCAACGACGTGCTGGTGAGGCAGCTGTGCAGCAGAGCCTACGCAAAGCTCATGCGGAAGCTATGTGTTAGCGAGGTCATCGGGTACACCAGAGATGTCTACACCGAACACATCTCCGGAGTTCGAGCGAGGCATGGCTGAGCCTGGACCACCTGCCTGCCCAATTATGACTGCTCCTACCACTATCTTTAGTAAACTCATATTTATATTATATTAAATTTATATATTCAATTGTAAAATACCTCCGCTATCTGTACCCCACCCCATGCGTTTTCTCCCCATTTTTGTAATCATCATAAATATTGCATAATAAACTCTGTTCTTATCAGCTTAACGACGTGATAAAGGTGTCTATTTCCCTATTTTCACGAGTTATGTCCGAGACGACGGATTCTGCGTAACATACACTTTAGTCTTACGTCGTTCGCCGAGTGTAACTCGACTCTTTAGGTGTGTTTGTTTTACGTGTTTGTTCGTTCTGTTCTCTTTGTTGCGTTTTTGTCGACTCGGCTTTTGCCTCCACCAGGTTTAGGTTCCCGGTCAGCCGGAGTACCGCGCCCTCGTGCTGAGCCAGCCTCCGGAAATTGGAAAATTGAAAAATTTGACATTATTATTTATAATGTAAAATTAAGTTTATTATTATCAACTAACATATTATTCTAAGTTATAAAACCAAACATTATATGTATATAAGTTTATTTTCGGTCACTATAAATTATCACATATAGATATTATTAAACTAAAACATTCTGTCAACTAACTCAAATTTATTCATTTGGTGACAAATAAGAAACAGCTATATAACAGCAACTTTCTGTTTACACCAAAAAAAGAAAATGGGAACATTTACTACGAAAAATATTTCTGTTTTGTATTGTTAGCTGTTCACACTGCAAAGACAAAACAGATACAAAATTCGTGATTTTATTATTTATACATTTATTATTAGTAATTGGCCTTTTTATTTTAAGGTTATTACCTATATATAATTAACTATAGAAGAATACCATATTGAATAAATTTAATGTACCAATATTTAAATAAATAATTATTAACAATTAGAGTAAATGCAATATAAATATTTAATTACATACTTATTATTATTCATAACTTTAAAAAGGTGTGGTAAGTAATACAAAATATTTGTATCTAGGTAGGAGTTAACTTTATGTTTTTAAGATTAAAATACTTATTAAAATATAAATACATTAGGTATATAATCAGTACAACCAGTGATAAATATGGGTGTTTATAAATTTGAAAAGTGACTTCCTTGGTAGGTATTTAAAAGTGATTTTTTTACAAGTTTTCCAATTAAATTATATATACCTAAATAAATTATGATTTTTATTTTATAATTTATTATAATTTATAAAACAATAAAAGTATAATAGGTACCTAACTATAATCAGTAACCTGACTTAATTAAAAATATATAAAATTAAATACGTCAAAGTAAAATAGTAAAAGCAAACATTTATTTATTAAATAACCATAAACAAAACACTTTGTAACTTTAAAAATAAATAAACAAAATAAATTTAATCATACTTATGATTATAATAGCAATAAAAAATAAAAATAAACTAATTTAGTTAGCTAGCCGCTATAAAATAAATTCAGCCTTATTAGTCATTTCTTAACAAAAAAATAACAATATGTGAAATATTGAAAAACAAAATAAAAAAGTATCTTTTCTTTAAAATCAAAACTGAATTTTGCTAATTTATAACAATTACATATAATTGGTATATATATATTTCATAATAAGAACATAAAGTTGAACATCTGAAAATATTAAAAAACATAATAATAATATACATCTACAAACTCAAAAACCTAGGGCTACCATTAGAAGCCATATTATTTTCTTCTTCGTTTTCTTGATTGTTGTTGATTCCATTATTGAGTGGACTATTATTCATATTTAAGATATTGGTTCCATAGGTTTGATGGTTAGGATGATCGTATCTACCCATTTTTGCTTCATACATGATATTATTCATTAAATATTGTACAGTTGACTGAGCATGATGTGTTTTTAAACTGCGTAGTTGCTACCCAATCATATCTCCAAATGAATGAAATTCATCCAATTGTTCTTTTTTCCTTTTCTAGTTTTGCATGTCTAGATTTTTTATCATTGTGCATCACCTCTAAAATACTAAAAGCTTTAGCTGATCGTTCCTCATGTCTTTTCACTTTTGTGATACACTGTGTTGTAAGTTGTAACTGTTTTAGTATTAACTGTTGATGGTTTTTCAAACCGAAAACTATTTTCTTTTGAAACATCTGTATTGTTATCATCTGTATGTCCATCTTATATGACTGACAAAACATCATCTTCTTCATTTTCACTTTCACTCTCCTATATTAATATAATATATTTAAGATAGATATTAATATTTAGTATATTTAAATTATTAATAATTTAAATCATGTTTCAAACCTACTAAATAATATACCTGTTTTGTATACATGAGAATATTTTTATAAGTTTCACTTAATTAATTATTATTAAGTACAAAAAGAATTTTTTATTTGTTTAGACTCCAGCTAATGAAAGATAATGGAAAGAATTGACAGATGATTTTGAGATTAAGTGGAACTTTCCATTATGTGTGGGTTCCATGGATGGAAAACATATAGTTATAGAAGCTCCTAATCTTAGTGGTAGTGAATTCTATAACTACAAAGGAACGTTTAGCATTGTATTATTTGCAATAGTTGACGCATCATATAATTTCATTTATTAAATATAGGATGTCAAGGTCGCATATCTGATGGTGGAGTTTTTAAAGGAACTGGTTTTCAAAAACTTTTGGAAAATACTACTTTAAATTTACCAAAGTGGCAAATTTTGCCGGGAATGGAAAAACTGATACCACACGTTTTTGTAGCTGATGATGCTTTTCCTCTATGTCCTAATATTATGAAGCCATATAGTGGACATCAGAAAAAAGGATCATCAAAAAGAATTTACAACTATAGATGCAGTCGTGCAAGAAGAATAGTAGAAAATGTATTTGGGATACTTAGTTCTACTTTTAGAGTTTTTAGAAAGCCATTGTTACTTAGTTACTATAGTACCTATTGGTATGTGCTTTACTGCATAATTATTTGGTCGTAGCCCATTCGGCTCCCGTTTCTCTAATCGGCTCCCGTTTTACAAAAAGGTCAATTCCCAAACGGCTCCCGTCCAAAAAGGTCTAACGAACAGGTAAATTCCTAAACGGCTCCGGTTTTGTACACCACAAATTCCTTCCCACTTTATACAGACTTAGGACAGTCTCAAAAAAGGTGTAGTTAAAAATGTCTTGGTGTACACTATGTAAATTATTAAAATTATATAAAAAAAAAAGTGTATAGTATAATATTAAATTTTAAGTTTTTAACGTTAAAAAAAATATGTAAAAAATGTATAAATAAAAATGTTAAAAAAATCATATATCGGGTAAATTTGTTAAGCACAATTTTTTTATATAGTCTATGCGTGATATTTTATTTGATGAAAACTCGCAAATGATTTTTTCGATGAACTCTTGCTTTTTTTTCGATCTTGGTGTATTAAAATAACTTCGAGCTTTAATTTGTGTTTCAGATTGTATATTGAGTAGGATGTCAATAACCTTAAAAATATTTGGGTGTGTAGTATTGAATTCTTTGTTGAATTTACTGTGGAACGCTTCACATCCATTTGTGGTCAAAGAAAGAGCAGATGAACACTCAGCCCACATTTTAGGAGGGAAACGACTATCTGAAGTTAGGTAATTTTCAAAAATATAGTCGAAAACTTTGTCTATTTTATCATCTATAGGTTTTATAGCCATTAAATCATCTGTAAAACAATCTAAGACGTCTGACGGTGGTAAGTAAGGGACGCCAAATAAATATTTCAACGCTCTTCCGATTCTAGAATCTTTGTCTCTGAATTCTGAAGCAAATCCCACTGACTAAATCATCCGCCACCAACATTGACCCAAATGAAATCTACACCCTTTTATGTTAACCGATGGCCACGTTTTTCGCAATGCAATGTGAATAGCTTCCTCAAAATCTACGAAAACAACTTGTGGATTTAAGTGATCACACAATGCTGAAAAAGCTTTTCCGTAGGTTACTGAGGTTTTATCTGGTAAAAAACAGTAAATAAGGGGAAGATAATATCCGTTATGTAAAACATGAACGGTGAACATTTGATAAAAAAATTTCGGACAATACTTGAATGTGCCATCAACATATATACATCGGTTTTCCTTAAGAATATTTAAATTGGTGTTACACGTAAGAATAACGATATTTGACGCGTTATCGTTAAAAAATAAAAAATTCTCACCCGCCAAAGTTGTAATATTAATTTTGTCTAAACTATCTTGAGCTTCTTCTGTTGATTTTGGTAATTTTGGTAAGGATTTCGAACGAACATAGTATACCGATTTGCGAATAGCGTTGACATCTTGTGTTGTCAACACATTTAAATCGTTCGGTTCAAGTTGAGTTCGAAGAAGTTTCGCTGGCTTTTCATGCAAATTTTCTTGAGCTTTACGCTTTAAATTGCTACTTATTTCCCTCCTCCTTATAACATTGTCATCTAAATGTAAGTGGTTATGTTCCAGATGTTCATCAAACATTTCTCCAATACTATTTCGCTTAAAAGAAGATTTACAACCACGCGTTGTACATTTCCAGCGCTCTACGTCACCAGCGAGTTTTTTATGGAAAGAAAACCAAAAATTTTCTATCAATTTTTTTTCACGCATTTCACTAGACATGTTAGAAAAATAATAAAAATAAATGAACGCACACAACGACGGTGAATATCGCGAACAGACTGAAATCTGAACAAACTGCACAAATTGATACGATTGTGTACCATATCGCAAATCTGATTAAATTGTAAAAGTAAAATTGTTATCGACATTATATTGTCAATATTTCCAATTAGCTATAGTTTAATGTTTCGGTTTTTTCGACATTATCAATATACCTATTCTATATTTTCCTTTATATTCCGTTTTATATATTTATATATAAATATGATACACATGAACTGTATACATATACTATACAACAACAGAAGTGTATGCTGTTTTGGAAGACAGGCGTCGTGCATATGTTCAATAATAATTGTAGAGTTTACAATTATACATTTATACCTATTTGAACATTTTTTTTTTGGACGGGAGCCGTTCGGAATTTACCTGTTCGTTAGACCTTTTTGGACGGGAGCCGTTTGGAAATAAGCGAACAATAGACGGGAGCCGTTTGGGATCCGACGGATAAAACTTAATAATTTAAAATAAGCACAACCCCCCACATATTTTGAAAAAGCTGTTCGGTGTTTAATTGTATAATTATTAAATAAAATATTATTTACTAGTCGTGCTCAGAGTGGTACCAGTGTTGCTGTAAATTATTAAAATGTATTTTATATTATTTATTTTACTCCTCTAAACAGACATGCGGTTTGGATTATGTTTTGTGACAGCCTCTGGCCATAATAATATCTACTATATACTGAGCCTTGTTTATAATAATTACTGTTTGTGAAATAATTACCGCACATTCTGCTCCAGATAGGTAATCATTTAATTTGTAAATTTATTTCCTTCTATTTTCATTTTTTGGAAATCTATATTTGTGAAGAAATTAGACTGGCACCATATTATTAAGACATATATGTCTTATATGACATACCGTCTCCGCTCAGAATCGTTTTTCTTATCCACTAATATTATATCATTGAATTCAAATTTAATACCATCCATTATACAGTGACCCACTTGTAACCTACTGTACAGCAGAGCACCTTTTTTTGAAATGAGAATCCCCCCTTTTTTTTTGGTTAAAGGTAAAAAAACTTCCAAGGAATCTTGAATTCAATTTTAAAATCTTGGTTTTTAAAAACAAATTTTTTGGAATTTCTATCTTAAAATAATTTGCGAAATTTCGTGATTTTGACTTATGAAAATTATTGTAAATGTATGCTCAAATAAAGACGCACAAAAAAAAATTTTAAAGAAACATTACTTATTGTGAAATGTTAAGCTTAATTATAATGTAGTTTTTGTTACGCTTGACAATCGATATAATATTGTATATATTCATACTACAGACGTAATTCTTTTAAAATATTTTGAATCTTTTTGAGTAATTTAAAGTCGATTGAAATTTTTCATTTTCTATAAATATCAACAAAAAAATTTTCTCTGGGTCTAAAATGTTATAATTTTATACAAGGTTCCTCCTAATAGTTGTTATAACGGCAGTTCAAAATATTAAAGATACACAAGTATAACAAATTGTATATTTCTTGTTTAAAAGTTCAAATGTTGACAAAATTCTATAAAAGCGCTAAAAATGTCTTTGATTTTGGTTGAAAAATTATAAAATGATTAGTTTTAAAAAGTTTACATAGATAGATAATTATTGATAATTTTAAACAAGACTAACTCTAAGTGTTACTCGGGGCCCGTTGGACTCGCTGAGAGTGGGTACTGATTTTGGAGATAATGTCGTTGGAATTATAAAAGTCGCAAAGTTTGTAAGACGAAAGTTTAGGATTTGTGAAAAGGATTATTGATATGGATTGGAGATAAGGCTAGACGCTAGACGAGTCTAGAAATCCGTCACAAACGTTGTAAATGGATAGGCTGGATACGATCTCCAGGATCACCTATATAGAGTATACCTTCACATAGAATGGTATATGCCTTAGCATGACCGGTGCTTTATCTTATGTAAAAAGTGTAAAGTCGAAAACCGTGTTGGAGTTTCTAGCAAGTCAGTCATTTCAAGTCAAAATCGATTTACTTTCAAGTTAGCCACCTAGGTAGGCAATCCGAAATAAAATACAAACTTTATTTATATAACAATCATGGAAATTTTGAAAAATATGCAATTATAATAATTCCTAATAAAACAAATATAACAAGTACCTATTTATTGTGTAATATAATAATATGACAATAACTTTAAATAATAATAATGTAAGATTTGTTCCTGTATAGTGTATATTTTTATTTAATTTATATGAAAAATAACGTGAAAAAAATAGCCCTTGTAAGTGAGTAGGTACCCATCGCGGTCACTTACTGCTATAGCAGTAATTTCAATTTTTTTCAATTATCATTTAATGGGTCCCTACTGCTATAGCAGTAATTTATAAAACCAGCGAAATCGGGCATTACTGTTCATGCAGTATTATTTTCAATTGTATTAAATGAAACTATACATCTGGCTGACCTATTATGATCAGCCATATGTTTGGGCACAATTAAATAAACAAATCTATTTTTATATTTCTCATTGGTATTTCGTATTTCGTCCTATCATAGTTATTATAATAAAAATAATTTTTATCAGTTTATACGTCGTATGAACCGAATTATACAATATATTTCCACATGTTTTTAGTAATCCGTGGTCTATTGCGTGCGTAGGACACTCGTGTTCGTACTTTGGTATTATATTTTTTTTACGTTTGCGTACATAGTGTTTACTTACATACATACAATATTCTTGTGTTATAAAAATTAAGCGTTCCAAACAAGACATCGAAGAATGTTTGAATGAAAGTTTAGAATTTGATTCCGACACTACTGAACTATACGATTCAGATGTGGACAGCGAATATTTACCGAAAGTAATCAACAAAACAATTCCTACAGGTAATAATGATAATATTATTTCTGCTGGCCCATCGCGTACACTATCATTGTGGGTAGAAACGTATGCAGATATTCCAGACTTCAATTTTTGTAGAGATAATGTTGGTATACAATTTGAAATTAATGATAGTGCACGTTATAACCCGATTGAAATTTTCAAACAATTTTGGACCAACGAAATTATTTATATAATTGTAAGTTCTAATTATAGTTATGGTGAAAGAATGTCAACATTAGAACGTCCTCACAAAAAAGGTTCCAGGTTTTCAAACTTTCAGCTAACTTGTTCGCAAGAAGTTCAAAATTGTTTGGGTTTGTGTCTTCTTGGTGGCTCATTAAAATTTTCCGTCGTAAGAGATATGTTTTCAGACAACCCGTTATACTATCATCCAATTGTGCGTCATATTATGTCAGGAAGAAGGTTTGAACAATTACTAAGATTTTTTAGTGTTCAGTACGCAGTTGATAATCCATTAGTTGGTCCTATGAAGAAAATTTATCCCATTTTTGATATGCTTATACAAAAGTTCCAAAGCTTATATTTCCCTCATGAAAATTTATCTCTTGATGAATCTTTTGTTGAAAGTGAAGCTTGACGGACTAATGATGTTAGCATTAATATAATAAGTAATAACACGACAATATGATTATGTATAAGTATAATATATAATAACGTACAACTGGACAATTAAACTGTGACTATACACACACACCGCGTACACTCGGTATGACAGCGTCTGTGCAAGTGAATATTGCATACATCAAAGGCCCTATTTATATGAACAATCGAGGCCATCCCGTATCCGTATATAATATAGAAAGCGATAGTAAAGGTGTTACACAGCTATATCGTAACTGCATAAGTATCTATTAGAAAACGACATTGTACACGCACGTGTGTTTGCATGGTTTGAATACTAATATTAATTGTATATTTCAACACCCTCCCTCAATTAATAATTTCTTTAATTGTAGTCACTCCTATGGCTGACCGCAACTTCTCGAATCGTTCCTTAACCAAAGGCTTGGTTAGAATGTCCGCAATCTGGTCCTCTGTTCCAATGTACTGTAGTTGGAATTGTCCCTCTTCGTATATCTCCCGTATGAAGTGGTACCGTACGTCTATATGTTTTGTCCTCTTATGAAACTCCGGATTCTTAACTAAACGAATAACACTCTGATTATCAATGAATAATACCGGTTGTTTATCACCTGTTTTTGATAAGCTTATTATCAACCGCGTAATCCACATGATCCCTTTTACAGCTTCACTGGCCGAAATATATTCAGCCTCGGTCGATGACAATGACACACAATGTTGTCTCTGCGATGTCCATGAAATTATGCTCGACCCGTATCTGAATAGAAATCCTGACGTTGAACGTCGTGTCTGAACGTCACCTGCGTAATCTGAATCGCTAAATATTTCTAATGACAATTGTGTATTATGATTAAAATACAAGCCATAATTAAATGTTCGTTTGACATATCGTATAATCCGTTTTACCAAGTTCCAATGAGCTTTAGTTGGTTTTGCTAAGTAACGACTAGCAAAGTTTACTGCATATGCTATATCTGGTCTCGTTACCTGTGATAAAAACAGTAAGCTACCTACTGCCTGCCTATAAGGTATTTCTTCACTTAATATCTCCGATTCTTCCTTTTGTTCAATAGTATGTGATTTGTCTATCGGAATTGAAAGTTCCTTGGCGTCCAGCATATTAAATTTATTAATTATGCTACATGCATAATTTGTCTGATGCACAAATAATGAACCATTTTTCATTAAGTTTACCTGCATACCTAGAAAATATTCTAAGTTTCCCTTTTTAACCTCAAACTCTTTCTCCAAGTTCGTTAAAAGTTTCTCTATTATCTCTTCATTATCTGCCGCGATTAAACCATCGTCAACAAATATTGCAAGAATAATTTGGCTGTTATCAGCTTTGAATACACATTACACATGCATCCGCTTCGGTACATTGTAAACCAAATGCATTCAAAAAATTCTTAAAGCGTATATTCCAACATCTTGGACTTTGTTTTAAGCCATACAAACTTCGCTGAAGCTTACATACTTGATTTGAGCCATCTTCGTAACCTGGTGGTTGTACCATGTATATTTCTTCCTGTAGTTCCCCGTACAGAAATGCTGTCTTGATGTCGAATTGTCGTAGTATTAATTTTTCCACAGCTGCTACTGCGAATATCGCCCTTATTGATTCGTATCTGACCACTGGCGAAAATGTTTCATGGTAATCTATACCATATTTCTGTGAACAACCCTTAATGACCAATCTGGCCTTAAATTTATCTATACTACCGTCAATTTTATATTTGGTTTTGAACACCCATGCATTTCGTAATGCAACTTTATCCTGTGGCAAATCGACTAGAGTCCAAGTCTGATTTTCGTGTAATGAATTAATTTCGTCGTTCATAGCATTATTCCATTCATTTTTGTTTGACCCAGTAATTGCCTCATCATAATTCAATGGACTGACACAGTTAGTAATAAAAGTCTGAACATTATACCTGTCCGGCTTCTTAAGTGTATTCCTGTCACGTTGAACCACAACATTTCTATCATCGACTGTTTTCGTCCTTCTCGCGCACGCCCGTTGAATTAATTTGAGTGTCTGTAAACTCTAATGTGTCTGCAATTACATTTTCATAATTATTACATTCGTCTTCGAATATAATGTCTCTGCACACGGATATTTTATTTGTTTTCGAATATGATACACGATAACCTTTCGTGCTGTTCGAATATCCAACAAATATTCCTTTTTCACTTTTTGGATCCCATTTCTGACGTTTTTGCTTTGGTATGTGTGTATATACCGCAGTACCAAAAACTCGTAAATGTTTAATATCTGGCACGACTTTATAATATAACTCGTAAGGTGGCTTACCAATCTGTGAACTCGTTCCGGTTAGATTAAGTGTATAAACCGCTGTGTTCACAGCTTCTGCCCATAATGACACGTCAAGATTTTTCGCACATATCATTGTCCTGGCAGCTTCTACGATTGTTCTGTTATCACGCTCGACTTTCCCGTTCTGTTCCGGCGTATATGCTACCGTAGTTTGGTGTCGTATGCCATATTTCTGTAGAATACCTGTAATATCCTTGTTTACAAATTCTAACCCATTATCTGTCTTTAATATTTTGACTTTAGACCCTGTTTCTGTTTTAACACTTTTTATAAATGTTTCCATAATATTTTTTACTTCATATTTATTCTTAATAAAATATACCGTTCTGTAATGTGAGTAGTCATCTCTAAATAGTAAAAAATATTTTGACATACCGATAGAGTCCCTCTGCATCGGTCCACATAAATCTGCATGTATTAAATCGCCGACGTTAAAATATTCGGTCTCACTTTTACTGAACGATTGACGGTGTTGTTTCCCGATTATGCAGTCGCTGCATACAAATTGATCGTCCTTGGCTGAATAATCAATATTATGTTTTGCCAAACAATTCCTCACGTATTGAATATTCTGGTGAGTCAATGAGGTTTATTGCAAACTGAACAGTACTCTGGTTGTCAGGTAATAATAGTCATTTCAATTTAGGAAACGGACGTAGAATCGACAAACCCATACCATCGTGCCTCAAAGCTAAACAGTGCTAAGCTGAATTTATTCTAGAGACAGTCATTAGCTTAAAGTGTACGAAGGTAAGGCATAAAGTAGGTTTTATTGTGTGTCATTCTCGATACCGGTGATACCACAGAGTGGCGCCCAACTGGGTTACTTATCTACAGTCAGAGACATTTTTTTGATTATGTGTGTTGAAAGTGAAGCTTGACGGACTAATGATGTTAGCATTAATATAATAAGTAATAACACGACAATATGATTATGTATAAGTATAATATATAATAACGTACAACTGGACAATTAAACTGTGACTATACACACACACCTTTATATGGATAATTTTTACAATAGTGTCACGTTATCAAATTTATTGCTTGAAAAAAAAACTCACTCGACGGGAACATTAAGAAGCAACCGCGAAAGAAATCCCAAGGACGTGACTGCCAAAAAATTAAAACCTGGTGAATATGTATGGAGACGCAATAAAAATGTGTATGTGTCAAAGTGGAAAGATAAAAGAGACGTGCTCTGTATTACAACTAAAAATCACCCGAAAATCGTATCCACAACAAATAGATATGGTGGCGAAAAAAATAAACCTATAGAGATAAAAGACTACAATGATTTTATGAGTGGTATAGATCGTTCAGATCAGATGGTAAGCTATTACTCTTGTCCCAGAAAAACCGCTAGATGGTATAAAAAGGTGCTATTTCATTTGCTCGATATAACCGCCTGGAATTCATATTTTATTTTTAACAAAAAGTTTGGTGTAAGAAACACTACCTTTAAGCAATTCCGTGATTTACTCATCAAAAATTTAATTGGTCTTCCAATAGAAACTACTGCAGCAGAACTTTTCAAAGACAAAAAAAGCAGCACCTGAAAATAATCATTACTCAGAAAAAATACCTCGTCCGCCAAATTTTAAAAGAGAAACATACTTCAAAAACTGTAAGCAGTGCTATAAGACGAAAATAAGAAAACAAACATCATTCCAATGCAAAAGTTGTGGTAAACCTTTATGCCCTGGTAAGTGTTTCGAAGAATGGCACAAGGATAATATTATATAAAGCATTCATTTTACTATTATTATTATTTTATTATTCATATACTTATACTTTTTATAGATACTTTTTTTTGTGTAATATAATTATAATGTATTTTTTTCTCATAAAAAGTAGTTGCATATATTTTGAAGAATTAATTATTAATAATAAAATAGGTTTTGTGATCATTTCCATATTAGTATATTTGTAATGCTAAATAAGTTATAACTGCTCTAGCAGTAATATAAAAGTGATTCTCTGAGGAAGTTACTTGAAAAATATTAAATAGTGAAGTGACCGCGAACGTGTTAAAGTCGCACTTATGTCTTATAATGAAGGTGATAGGTTGGTAATCGGAGTTGATTTGGTGATAGGAATTTGTGATAAGGCCGGGCTTTTTGGCGGTCCCTTTTCGAAGGCGAAAAAGTTTAAAAGTAGAGTTGTAGTGTCTAGAAATCTCCCATGGTCCATGAATGTCGGCAATACTACGATACGATTACCCAACTAATGTCCGGTGCTTTTTCGTTTGTGTAAATGTAAAAAATGTAAAGCCGAAAACCGTAATGGAGTGTCTAGCAAGTCAGTAACCTGAATTCTGAAGTGAAAATCGATTTACTTTGAAGTTGTCCACCTATGTGTGCTACAGACAATCAGGTGGGCAGGTACTTCAGACATTAAACGGCTATAGCCTATAAGTGAAACTCGACTACCATGTACCTATATGAATGATGAACAATCCGACTTTGTCGTAGTTCTACAACTTACTGTGGTCGTAGTAGAATGTTAATGATGTAGTCGAGTATGTGATAACGATAAATGGCCTATCCATTCTTTAATATCTATGTTTATGTATGGCTGATAATGATTAGTGATAGCGCTTGGTGGTTTGGCGGGAACGTTTAAATTTTTGAACTTACGGTGTCAGTGCTGTTTTC